AAATCATGCTCCAGGAAAAGCAAGTTTACCTTTTCAGCTTCTTGATAGCGAGAATACAGGTCCAGATAGAGGCCTATTGTGTTGCGATTATTTTCTGCAACACTTTCATATTTTTTCTAATAAAAGACAAATACACAATCAAAATAAAAAGCTGATTTCGTGGAATGGTCTGATTTTACTACAATGTATTATAATATGCTGTACTACATTTTGAACAGCCAAAACATTATGCACAAACCTACAAACCTTTCTAAGAAATGCTCAAAGAAACGCATCTCAACTTATCCCAGTCTTGCTTGATTGGAAGTTTTATTTTTTTGTTGACTGTTATTATAGAGAAGAAATCAACAGATTGCCCAAGCAACACTCTGAGTGTCTACGACATTGATATGAGCTTGCTGAAACTTCACCAAATCTCTTTAACTACATTTAATATGTGTTTACAGACAATGTGCCTTCTTTTCAGCTCTAAATATGACAAAGTGGAATCATAAATCTACAGCAGGATTTTAAATAGACCACTTCTCTTGCCTTTGGAGTGCTTGCCTTTGGAGTAAGAATTTGAAAATAGCAATAACAATTCTGATGTATTCATATGTAATTTAAATTCATGCTTCTTTTGGAGGGTACAGTTGTAGCTTATAATCATATTTAAATGTAACTGACAACCATTAACATTCTGTTGTGCTTTTTTAAGCATTGCTTAGCCTATTTAGGTCTGATAGTCCACTTTAAAACCATATTTTAGGTTCCATTCTCTAATTAGCCATATTCTAATTATGTATCATTAGCATAGCTCATAAATACGCCTCTTGTAATTGCCTCATTAAAACATTCCCTCTAGTTCCTAGAAGATCAGATGCATTATAGTGCATGATTTTTATGCTCCAATAAAATTGTCAGTGAAAATGATTTTCTCCTGAATTAGATTAATCTTCTTGTAATATAAGGACACTAAAGTTTTAATGGTTAGTTAATTTGCATTGCTTTTCAGATCATGTACTGTACTGTCATACTGTATAAGAAAAGAATCCTGTAAATGTACAGTAGGTGAAATATAAGGGTTTAATGATAAACTGAATCACTCTATTTGTATGTTCATTACAAATGGTGTATTTGATAGATAATAGCAGTAAGTGCCTTTATCCACATTTTATCTGTTTATCTGTTCATTTTATTTGTTTATACACATCTTTATAATTTAGAAAACAATATTCAATGGCTTTTATGTCAAACAGCTGAAATCAAACAATATCCATGAGCATAACAATTAAGCACAGAACAGATGCATACAGAGACCAAATACCATAACTCTCCTTTCTCATTTCAGAATTCTTCTGGTATAACAACGAATGAAACACATTTCCTAACACAAAATTCTCCAAGACAGAATGTTTATTAATTATAACATGTAAAATTGCCACATGTGTTAAACTTTAATTTCTGTCCATCCATTTTCTTACCACTTCATCCTATCCCAGCAAGCAATGGGCAAAAAGCAGGGTACAACCTGGATGGAACACCAGTCCATCACAGGGCTGTCAAATACAGGCACAAAAACACACACTCACACCAGGGCCAACCCAGAAGATAATTAACCTACTATACCTCTATGTCCTTGAGCTGTGGAAGAAAACTAGAGCACCCAGAGGACAAGAGGAGAACATACTGTATGCTGTACAGTATTTGAAACATAATAACCTTAAGTGCTCCACATACTGTAGATAGCACCCCAAGACCAGAATTGAACTTAGGGCTCCAGTACTGTGAGGCACCAGTACTGTGCCATCTGCTTTAATAGGTAAAAATATTAATATATTTATAAACATGAAAAAACAGAAAAACCCCCTGAGAAAAAAATATTGTAACATATAAAGGTTTGTTCCATGCTGAAAAGAGAAGAAAAAAACATGTTTCCACAGCTGAAATGTTATTTTCTTCTCTTTTCAGCATGGCATAAATCTTTACTTGTTCCTTTGCAGCCTATGCATGCTGATGCAGCTACCTACTAAAGGAAATATTTCCTTTCAAATATCTGAGTCAAATTAGCACTGAGACACTGGTAGAGTAACAGTCTGAGATGAATTTTCCAGTTGCTGAGTTCGTGTACTTGAAGTGGATAAAATCAGAAGTGTAGTTTTCACTACTAGTTAAACATCATAATACATGAAGAATAAGAGGCCAATGTTCCACACATTTTATAGTTAATCATGGTCTGAAGCTGGATTCTTTTATTTGGGTATATCTGGTGGTTGGCTGTTTACTGCTAAAATAAATAGGTGACTTCTTACCTTTACTGTATCTATCACTTCTGACAGCTTTAGACATATCCTGAAAGAATAGGGAGATAAACTGATGGCTCTGAGACACCTTACTATGGATAAAACCCTGGCGTTTGATATTGTTTTACAACAATGTTTACATTTCTCAAAAATCGGCCTTGGAATTTATTTAATCATACCTAAAAGTAAATAAAACTAAAAATTGTACAAAACAATTAAAACAATTGTGTGCAACTTTATAGATTATATTTGAATATAAATACATATATATATAAATATAATAACATTAATAAAATCCTTTACAAGGTGAGCATACATCTTCCATATTTATATTTAAGGCTTAATCAATGAACATTAAAAGACCTCCCTTGTGGTTCTTGTTAGTGTAATAGAGCAGTTTACTTTGAAATACGACAGGCTGTGGAATCATCTTCCTGCCCGATCCCCAGCTGCAGAGATGTGGAGAAATGTCCACAAGCGACCATTATTTCTGTTGAAACAAGGTTAAAAGAAAAAAAAAGCCTTGTAGTTTCGAGCATCATATCTCTTTTTGGTTCCTTGCAATTGCTTTTACTCCACTTTTATTCAATCCAAGAAATGGTGAGAATTCTTAAGAAGGTGCACTGCATGCTTCCTGTCATGCTGCCAATTGGTTCTTACTGTTAGACTCCCTAACAGCCAGGAAGCCCAATTGTCCCAAACGGTTATGAACTTTTTCATTGGTTTTGAACTGTGAAGGCCAAGTCTATCACAGTGATTTTATATACAGTACACTATAAGGTGATGTCAACACTAGTCTCTCTGCATGAATTCCCAAAGCTCAAACCATGCTTATCTCTGCCAAACTTTTTATTAGGAGAAATGATTGTCTGAGTCAACCAGTCTTAATTCACAATAATGCTTTTTTTTCCAGAGATAGTTGTTCCCATTTATGCAACATAGCCGCAGTGGTAAGAAGAGTGATATAATCATAACCTGTCAGAAAAACATATAAAGGTACTTCTGATCAAGATCAAGAAGGCAGCAATGACAAACATTGAAATCTACAGTGATAGCTCATGCTGATGCCTTCTTAGGATGACAGCCACTATTGTCACTAGACACCTCCAGCTTTTTCATGAGAATCTCAAATATAATAAATCGCAATATCCTGAAATGTGCTCTTTTGCCTTTGTCATTGTTCATGCATAGACTCTGTGCTCTGCCTTTATCAAATATGGTTATTCACAGCGGGGTTTCTGTTTGTTGGATAGCTAATGAAAAATCTTTCTAGATTCCTAGATAAGCCCTGGATAAATTGCAAGAGTCATAGACAGTGTTTGATTCCTCCAACTCGAAAAAAGAGAAATCAGCCAATGGTAGATCAATTTAATTTGTTTACAACATTCGAAAATATAACAGGCCTACAATATTTATTTTCCAAGCTCATTCTAATTGTGAAAAAAAAATACATTGAGTAAATTTAATGCAGAGAGGCTAAATGTTGTCAATTTATTACATCCACATGAAAACTAATGTATCTGCAGTTACTGTATGTTTGTGTGAAGCTTAGTTCCACTATGTACATCAGCCTGTATATTTTACAAACACAGATGGAAAACCTATAATATGAACCAGGTAATGTGTACTTTGGTCTGTGTATTAAATTTTCTCCACTTTATCCTTAACAACCATGAAACAGTCATGCTTATGTGTGCTTCCATGGAAACAGTGCACATTTTGAATACTAGAACATTGCTGATCTGATAGTTAAGAAGAAATGGCTTAGAATTATGAATACTGTGATGTTTATTTGAATATTAATATGGTGATCATAGAAACTACACATATTGTATATGCTAAATATGCTGTACTCCTGATTTCTGCTGTACAGTTCCATACTGTATATTGTATGTTTACATTTTTTAAGTTTTTTCCCAAACCAAGCTTTCCTTTTAATTTGAATTTTAGAATATATATGGGTATTACAACAAAGCAAAATATAATATTGCTAATGTAGAATCAGTTCTGAGAATAACAATTGAGTTCTTAGGAATGTTCTACTCTGATAGGCTAGAAGAACTGAACTTTTATATAGCCTTCAAAAGAGAATACTACAGAAGTACAGATTTAGGTATTCAGAATTCTCCAAGGTATTGACAAAACCAACCCAAAGGAGAAACATAAACCAGAGAAAACAAATTAAAACCAAAGGAAGTCCTTTTAAAATGGAGAACAGGTGGCAACCTTTCAAGAATTTGAGGGAGTCCATACAAGCTACACAGACATTTTGTTGAAGCAGATATCATAATATACATCAAGAAATGGCTAGATGAAATCCTCATGCCAGTTATCTAGTAAAAAACAATGGACAACTACCTCATCTCATTTGGAAACGTCCTTAAAAACAAACGTTTTTCAAGATTAAAAGACTTGCTCTGTCGGGTACAGTACTTACTTTGTTCAGCTACCACCATTTCAAGGAACCTCTGTGGAATGAACAATAAAACCAAAAAATTATATTTAGGTAGAAAATAAGATTTTAGCACACATCAATGGTGCTTCATTAAAATAATCACAATTTGAAAGCAAAGACCTACTTCTGACGCAGCTTTGGTAAGTCCAGTGAGTCTCACGTTACTGTCCCTCTCGTTTTGAAAAAACTCATCAATATCCTGAAAGGGTCACAGGGTAAAAATTATTTTGCACTCACCACTTAACACTATCACTACAATACTATACTTAGAAATGATCTATTTGATCTACAAAACATGAATAAATCAAGAAATATAACTTTGAAAATAAATGTATTTCATACTGGACATTTTAACAGAGAGAAACCATACACCTTCTCTGGCTTACATTCAATCATATTGGAAATGTTGTCTTGCATTTAAACAGTCTAATGCTGCATACAAAACTATATACCAGGTATGCAGCTCTTGAAATAGAACTGCCATTGTGGAGCTTGAGCTATTCTGTTTCCGATGATAAATGCTTTCTGAAGTGAGAAGCCGTTCCATTTTAACAGCATGATACTGAGGTAATTACTGTAATTTGTATTCAATAGAATTTTGAATGTTAAACGATTCACGTTCTTTGTCTGTACTGGGGATGAAAAGTGCTACTCCCTCAGTGATGTACGTGTACCTTGTGATGTTCCTTCCTCAGTCCTTCCACAGCCTGGCTCAGCTTGTCAAAGATCCCCTTCTTCACAATCTGCTTTCCTGGAGGCTGACAGGGATTCATGTTTAATATAGTGAAGGCGTCCTTTAACAGCTTGTACTACATGTGCATTGAATTCCTCTACTTCACATGCTATTTATAAATGCCTTCAAATTGTACCATATGCTGTATAAAAAATATATAGCATGTGTTATATTTAGTATAAAGTAACTGCATGACTAGATGTGTTTTGAAAAGACTACACAAGAGGGCGTGCAGGGTAATGCATTGGTTAGCATTGCTGTCTTGCAGTGCTGGGGTCCTGGTTTTAAATAATGTGTAACTCACTATAGAACATAGTATCGGGTGTTTTCATAAAGTCTTCAGTGTTGATGTTGATACTGTGTCTGATATATGGCATAGTAAAATATTCCCATATTTCTTAGTGCAGCTTGTCCAAGCAAACCTGATAAGCAATGCTCAAACTGTATGTTTTAAGAGTTTGTCATTCAGTGTTATCTTGAGAACATGCAATCCAAAAAAACTCCATCATCTCTTATACAGTCTTCACTAGAATTACAGAATACACAGAACTGTTAAGGGTCCTGATGAAAGCAGATTCAAACTGTCAATTTATCCCCATTCTAATTTTACTGGACCTCATGATTCTTATTGAATGTTAAAATGGTTAATATTTTAAAGAACCTCTTTGATAAAACATACCTCTTTATGTGTGAGAAAGCTTTGCAATGCTGAATTTTTGACAAGGATGGAATGTCCTGATACAAGATGGAGGTATTTCTCCAGAGCTCTGCAATATGTTTGCCAGGTTCCTCCCAAGGCTAGAAGCCCTGGAAAATAATGTTGTGAAGCACTCCAGCTCAGTCACTTTACCTTTCTCCATACTCAGTGACAGATCACATAAACAAGTTCCCTGCAGGATTAAATTGTTTTTTATTCACACTTTGTTGGTCACTTAATTTCATCTTCAGCAATAAAATAAAAACAAACAGAAAAAGGAAGGAATTCTCAACAATTCACTTAAACAGAAAAAGCAGGATTGCTTGAACAGGATTCATAGGTTTCAAATTGTATGTAGAGCACAATACGAGTCAACACTGCTCAGAAGACATGACAGCTACTCTTATAACTCAATGAAGCTTACTACAGCAATCCATTTTCACAAACTTTAAATCTCTGGAGCAGGTAGCATATATCATTTTTAAACTTCAGTCTTTTATTGTATTATTCTCCAGAGAGTTCACCATGGTTTTATGAACACCATCTGAACGATTAAACTAAAATATATGTATCTGATTTATTGGTGCTTTTTTGCAGGATTAAAAGAAAAGCTTGGGAAAGGGCAGTGAATTGTTAATAATTTGAAAAGGAATTACATTAAATTACAAGAAATTACAACATTTTTTACCACATTGTAATAAGCAGTTTCCACATGTTAAGCTTCCGTTTGGGTAGTATTTGTAATTTGAATATGACTAAAAATAACTTCATTCAATAACTTCATGCATATATTTTACATACCTAGCTGTTTAAAACTTCTTGCATCTGAGCTGGGGTCACATGTCATCGGTTTAGCTGGTAGAGGAGGAAACTGAAATACAGATTTTAAGAAAGTGCTTAAATTATTTCAGAATAATCACTCTTTACTTTTAACTAAGAACAAAATCAGAATTGTAGAGGGGGCATTTCATTCTAGCATTCATCATTTGAAACTTTTTTAAATGGTAAAAATGTCTGCAATAGACTATCCAAGCACAAAATGTTTTTTTTTGTACTACTGTACATACCTGTACATGTTCAAAATGTTACATTACGAAAAAGATGATGCACAGAGTGTAAAATTACATGTTATCATTATTGAAAATAAGGAATAAGTGGTGTTCTGATAATGAATAAATAAACTGATAAACTAGAAGTTACAGTCTCATAGTCCTCTTTTAAAAGATTATGTTGTCTCTCTGGATCAAGGCAAATAAAGTAGTAAATTTCATCAATAAGGTTAGGTTGCAAAAGGTAAAAAAGATAAAATGGATACTAACAATAATCCCTTGAAGACCAGGGACACTTTCCTGGGTAAAAAGGCAGTGCTGAAGCCACTCAAAATCTTCATATGTTCGGTCAACTTGGTACTGCATGTTGCTGGACAACTGAAGAAATAAAACGAACAAGTATTTATGTGCCTTAAAAACCACAACCCTCTTTTGTTTCTATTGTCAGGCTGTTCAACAGCCACTTTACTCGGTTAGGCCTACTTCAAAACAGATCAGAAGTCTGCATCAAACTGGTGTAACTGATTAAAGTTGGTTTTTTTTGCACATTAAGAAGTGGAAAAGAATAATCAGTATAATCTGAAAAAGACTCAATTAAAGCTCCTACATATATTTAATAAAAAAGTAAAATTGTATTATGGAAAATTTAGAAAGTGAGCATTTTCATCTATACTTTGGTGACTTCTTTTAGGAATAGCGACATTTATGTTTAGAGTATACAGTATGACTTATCTACAAAGAGAATAATACCAGATAAGGCCAGATTTGTAAAGCTAAAATGGCTTTACATTTAAAAGTTTAAAATGATAAACCAATAGCCATGATGATCCTGGGGTTACAGCAATGCAAAAAATGACATTTACAGTATCTTGTTTCATAACAGTCGTGGCACTTATCATTGTGTTAAAATCACTTTAGGTTGATATGAGGCATTTACACTTTTAATCATCTTGCTAAATAGACAGGGGATCTTTCACAAAAATACTATCCACAGCACCCTGATATACCTGAGTACATTTTCACCTTAATTGTTTTCAATGCAAACCATTGATGCATTCATACCTCTTCAGATTTCACAACATAAACCAGTGAATCCCCATTCTTTATGGCTTCAGTCACTCTGATGCAATAAACACTACAGTTGGAATGAGATGGAACTTCAACAGCTTCCTCCTAAAAAAAATTGATTGCATCCATTATTGTCAAAACCTTCTGTAACTCTGCTTATCTACAGTATTAAATTAAGGAGGTGATTATAGCACAGGTAATTGCCTCAGTCCTTGTGCTGTAATTACAGTACCTCATAGACAGAAAGCCTGGCAGAGACTGCACTAGGAGAAACAGATCTCACTTTTAAAGGTTCAGTGTGATTCATTCACAGGGACCTGCTTCTATAGTTTTCTGAAGAAAAAAAAACATTTCACAAAAAATGAGGAAAATTATACCTCCTCACTGCATCCTTCAAAGTAGAGACAGTTTTCTTTGCAAAAAGTAGGGTGACAAAGAAATATTTCCTCTCTGGCTAACTCTATAACATTTGGATGTTGCACAGTGTTAAGTTTTTTTTTCTCCTGTAAAGTCATAAGCAAAATCCTGGTCTCAAAGAGAAAATGCCAGTGAATCCTGATTCACTGGGATCCCTCTAGACATTGAAGATAGAGCAGGCCTAGGCCTATCATTCTGACAAAATCACAGCAGTGCTCTCCCTCAGTGCTTTATTATACCAATAGGTCAAACTAAAGGTCAGCTTCATCTGGGTGTTGCAAACAAAAGGGCTAGCACTTTTAACTTTTAATGGCTCCTGCTGCATAACCTAACAAACTGAGTGGTCAGCAGACTGTTTGAATATTAGCTTGCAATGAGTGCTCAAACTCAATTCCTTACTTCCAGAATGTTGACTAATTAATTGTTCCCCTGCGTTCCTACTGATATAATTTACAGTGTAAGAAAAAAAAGGCACTTGAAGCAAAATAAAAAGGGGTTAATTCTCTTGGGTAGCTTATTGAACAAGCATCAGCATAGCATATCAAATATTTTCAGGTAGTAGACAGAAATGTTTGCATGCCACAAATATTTTTATTGTAAAGAATGAGTTGTAATTCTGTAATGTGTACTGTGCTTTGTTTTCCAACTTCATGAAAAAAGCAACAGTAATTGTATAAAGTACCTAAATGCACCACAATATCAACTCTAATGATGACCAGTGTCTTCATTGTTGTTACCAGAGACTGAATTTGCAAAAAAGTTCATTTTATAACAATGTGCTCCATACGAATTTAGCTAAAACATCTACACATGAACACACACGGTGGTTATAAAGTCCTGTATTCACCTATAGGCTCTCTAATTCATCATGTGAATGGTAGCAGGAAATCAAGCCACTTTTAGAACATTTATTAAGACCTATAAATGTGCAGTATATGATCTTTTGCTTCCATGCTTTTCCTTTTATTATTCTTATTACACTTTAAGACAGTCTGCCTTCTATGTGCATGAATGTCGCAAATGTCACTTGTTTCCATTTGTTAAAATACAAAATATAAAGCATTAAATAAAGATTTGTATTAGACTTAGTGCATTTACAGTACACTGTTGCTAGGCAAGTGTGAGATGCAATACTGCACATCATATGATACCATGAGACAGGAAGCAGATACTTTTTAGGTGAATAAAAGTGTCTTACCATCATTTTTAAGAAGCAGGCTATGTGAAGTCTTCTGCCACTGTCAGGAGTGTTAGGGTGCACGACTTGAAAATGTCCAATTTTACGTGTATATTTCAACCGTTTGCTGTTCGCTACAACCACAAGCAGTGCAACCTCCTATTTTTGTGCCATTCTGGCCAGTGTTGGAATGTATTTGGTCAAAGTGCATGATTGTGCTCTGTGCAACTGTACAAAGTGCTATCTTCATTCAATCAGACAGACCTGGAGTGTAGTAACAATGTGTTACTCTATAACTAAATGTAAACTGGCTGCCACACCCTGAAAACAGTCACTGCATCCCCCAACAGGAATTACTCTTCATATTCCTGTTTAAAGCTTGTGACTTAGTAGCACCAAGCAACAGACAACTCAGTGGAATTTATTTAATTCTTCAAGCAGGAATCCTCTGCTTAACGTATCATCGAACATTTCATCCACAAAGGAGTAGCTTTCCTCTAAGGTACAGGCTCACTATTTCAAACCCAGGAGATTCTAAGAGTATAATTTGATGTTGCTTACTAAAGGCTTTTTACATACAAGGTACCCTATGAATACTCATTCAGTGGTATGTTTCTGTGGATTATGGAAATAGGCAAAATATATTATCTAAGAATAATCTTCTAAAAATAATGTTAACACAATACTGTAAGCAAAGGCTGTAAGCCATCTGCTTTAAATCTAAATTTTGCTAAAATGAAAGAAACAAGTATTAGTGTTTTTCTGTACTTGAAAAGGGTATATTTATTCCATCAGTATATATAATTTTTTAAAATATATATACTGATAGAAAAAAACAACATTTTCTGGAATGAGAATACTATAGTAATAGGTTATGTATTTTCACAAAAAGTTGTCAATTTGTTTTAAGCCCTCTGACCAGCAATACAGCTTGTGCAGTGAGGCACTGCAACGTGCCAAACACATGAAAGCTTGTTAGGTGCACTTTTACCCCACGAGGTCAAGGTGGAACAATGTCTGATCAGGTCACCTTTAAAAAGGCCTTAATTCAAAGCTTAGGTCACTGCGAGAAAAAGGCCACACTTAGTTTTCTGTGCATTCCATAATGCCTCGAATGTCAACAGAAGCAAGGGAGAGGGCTATTGGTATCCTGAAGGCAGGCATTTCATGTGCCAGCATTGCCAGACACTATGGAGTAAGCCGCTCCACTGTGTCCGGACTGCAGAGAAGGTTTCAGCAGACCGGCAGGAAAGATGACCGTCCAAGATCCAGTCACCCTCGAGTGACCACACCAGAGCAGTACCGATACATCAGACTGGTCCATCTGAGAGATCGTTTCAGATCTGCCACCTGTACTGCTGCTGAAACTACCGGCAGACACAATGCCCGCATGAGTGACAGGACAGTGAGCCTCCATTGTGCTGGCCTTAGAGCAAGGCAACCTGTCAGAGGCCCTCTGCTCACACCTCCTAGATGTCACACCTGACTGGGGTGCTTCTTATTCTATTTTCTGTATGAGGACATGATGATATCAGATATCATTTCAGTAACTAAAATGGATCACTACCTGTGATACAGTATCTATGCATATTTCCTAATCGTTTGGTTTTTGAATGTTTTCTTAAAAAATAGATCACTAATCACCTATGCAAATTATTGTCAATAAAATCGACTACTGATCAGTCAAACACTGAGATTTAGCACTATGTTTGAGTTCGAAAATGCTTTCCTAGCCAAATCCTTGCAGAAACAGTTTTCCTGTCTACTCTGCAGGAAGCTTTTAGGGTGTTTTTGATGGCACATTTGAATCACAAAAAGCCCAAAATACTGTACAAGACAAAATCTGAAACTATTGTATATATAGATGCTAAATTCCTATTCTTGAATATTAAATTGATTTCTGTTTTCCTAAAATTAAATATACAGTACTCAACCAGCTTTTCAGTCGTTTAGTTACAATCTAATGAATGAGAAAGAGGGATGAAATGTGTAGAAGGCATTTGCCATGACTCAGCTAGCCGAGAGAATGTCAGCCTAGCTGTGAGGATAGGCTGCCCAAACATCCCTCATTACTGCATTCAATCTTGTAAGGAGCTACTACAAGGATGAAGATGGGGTGCCGGGAGGGGTGCAAGGAAGATGAATGAAGGCACGACCTGGGTGCAAGATTTATAGTCATACTGTAGGCAAGCAGAAATAAAGAATGCAAAATAAAGATCTACTGGTCACTTCCTCCAGAACTTCAATTATAAACTCCACTTATGTTGCCTGCTAATGTGTATGACCAAATTCAGTAATATTCACTAGGAATAACACCCAAGAATTAAGCAGACGGAAAGGTTTGTGGAGTGTTTTAGTCGCAATACAATTTCGATTAGCCAGCTTGGCTTGAGGGCTAACCTCCTGGCCATAGGACGAGGAGGCTGGGACCCTCGTATGGAATGGCTAAGGGGCAGCTGTAAAGGCAGAGATGGGGTGGATCTGGGATGCAAAAAGAAATATGCAAGGGAGGGAAGGGGATTAACTAACTTGTACAATGTTTTAGGCAAGGAAAAGGCATCAGGAATGATTACAAATTACCGACAGCTGAGGCTGATTGAACTTGGCTATGGTGATCCCACCTAAACTTTCATTATAAACTCCATTAAGTCAGACATAACACAATGACTGTTAAACATACGAAAAATACAGGTTAACAATTTATTAAACAGTGAATTAAATAACAATTCTACCAAGTTAGCAATCTTTAACCCCTCAATTTGTTAATCGCCTTCACATATCCTCACTGTGCTGCCATCCAATTTTTGATCTATCCAGCAAAAGCTTTCTGGCTCCTGATTGTTGAGAGAAGCATCGTCAAAATACACATTCATGTTCATGTCATCAAAAGGATCCCGGAAAAGATCGTAGAAATCATGGTGGCCAAACTCGCCATTAAAATAGCTCTGTCCCTCATGCTTCTGTGCATCTACAAATTCTTCCCTGGAGTCCCAGTCTTCTCCTGGCATCTCATACATTATATCGTCATCAAATTGGAAGCCGCGGAAAAAATCGTCAAAGTTAAAGGTGAAAAACTGCTGGCCAAAGTCAGTTCCATCTCCATGGTCGGGCTCAAAAGCCTGGTGTCCAAACTCATCGTACTGCCGTCGCTTTTCAGCGTCTGAAAGCACTTCATAGGCTACAAAAAAAAAAAAATAAAGTTGTGATTTTCATGTTCTGCTCAAGCTACCTTACAAATTAGAAGGCACTTAGCACACTGCAAATGCTTAAATCTAAGAAGCATAAAAACACAAATGCCCCCATATCCATCCCTCCAAGTTGTGTTACTATCATTTCAGCAAAAGACCATTGAATTCTGAGCTTTTGATGAAAATGTTGTGGATTTCGTATTATATTTTTGAATCTTCTTTCCTGAAGCTCTTAAACAGCAGCTTCACAGCCCACAAAACTGACTAGACTTACAGTACTTCGCAACCATTCAATACTTGAGGCACTGTAATTTTTTTAAGACAGTCTCTTCTTATACAGTAGCTCCACAATGAAGGTTTTGTCCACCTTTCCTTTCTGCATATTTGCATCAAAGTACATATGAATTCAACTAATGGTCATCTTAGTAAAGGTACTTAAGAATTAGTACAGAATAAAAGCATTATTTCAGCTCATATGTAAAGACAAAACCAATGTTTTATTCTCACTGGAGCGAGGCCATAGACACCCAGTGCCTCTCAATAATTACTGAAGGTTCACTGTCAGACATTCAGAGTAGGCTTTTAGAAGAATGAAATACAAATTGCTTCTGCCATTCTTCCAAATGACTTCTACATTTGGTAAACATGATAAAGAAGTCAAGGCTTTTCATTTGTATTCATGTTTTTAGGCTTTTCGTGGTACTTGAATTGGAAAACTAATGTTTTGGAAAATTCCATTTCGTCACTCCTCTACTAGTAAATTGCTATTGATTAAATGTTGTCATAAGGCAAGTGAGTAAAGAGCAGGACAGTGCACTAAAACCTTCTAGTGTAGCTTACTTGACTTTGGCCTGACCTTCTACAATAATGGCAAATCAACAGAAACCAATGATAACTGATGCATAAAGTCATGCCTGCTGTATTAGTTTGGTTAACTCCTTACCTTCAGCAATCGCTCTGAAGTTTACTTCAGCCTCTGGGCTCTTGTTTTTATCAGGGTGGTACTTCATTGCTAGTTTGTGAAAGGCCTTTTTTATCTGTCTGTCTGTGGCAGTCCTGGGGACATCCAGAACCTCATAATAATCCCTCTTTGCATCAGTCAGATCCACAGACAATACCTGGCACAAAACTATAGCCAGGTATACAGTAGGGAAATATTCCTTCATTGCCTAACAAAAAGACATTGTGTTTTAGAGTAAGAATAAAACAAGAGCATTGCATTTCTAGAAATGATCCTCAATGAGAAGGACATACAGTTACATTCAGGATTTTAGCTACTGTAAGCGTTTCGTGAACGTTAACCAGTTGTCAAATTCTTGACTTAGCAGTAAATGGATTAATTAATACTGCAGTCTTTGCGTGTCGCTGCATAAAAGTTGCCTTGGTGAGAGACTCGTCACCGCAATCTCGCACGGTACGTCCACAAAAGGAGTAAACCTAGTGACAGAACTGACCTTATTTATGCAAACCATTTATGTCAAATTGCAAAAAAATGAAAAAAAAAATGAAATTACTAGGAACTAGGATGTTTTAAGATAAAAAATAACAATGTTTAGGTTTCCTTTGTTAAAAATGTACTTTCCACCTTTTTCTCTTGTATACTGTAAAAGAAGAAAAACAAACAAACCTTTAAATTCCGTACATATTGTTCTCAAATGATCTACAATGTATTTTCGAAGGGGTCTGGGAGCAAAAGAACTTACAGTAGCTTTCAGACTTCTGATATCACAAATGAGTAGAAGCGAATGTTAAGAAAATCAAATTGGTGTAGCGCCAGTACAAAAAATAGAAATGGTTAGGGGGACAGCACTGGTTCGACCCTTAATTGATGTTCTCGACTGAGTATTAATTTGTTTGGAGAACAGGAAGAAATCAATCTAGGAAAATAAAGCAACGTTGCGGGTTTCACATTCCGTCCAATGCGTCTCTGTCGGAGACGAAGCAGCGCTTCACAGAAAACAGCTGCAAAATGTCAACACGCGTGGGAAGTCACGTCACCATAGCAAGCAAGATTTTTCTCCGAAGCTAATACTGTAACTTCAACTGACAGCGCATGCGGCAGGAAAAGAACACGAGGACAAGTTTGTCAGACCTGATTGGCACTTTATGAAAATAACAATTATTTACATGAATAGTTGCTCTAAACGTGGAAGATATCGGTACTCACAACTTAATTCCAATCGTCCTAAACTTTCAAACAGGACCCTCGTAATCTTCAGTGATGATTCTGACACCAAAGGCCTGCGTGTGCAAAAAGGAAGATTCTTATTTAATGCTTACAAGCCCATGTGATAAAATAATTTTCACGCAATTCTGGGAAAAATGCACCATAGCGACTGTTTTCAGTATCGGGTTGACCTGGAAGTGCAATTACAGATTTAAGAGTGCTAATAATTCCTTAAAGTAAAAGTCTCCGGTCGCTTTTATCCCTCCACTTGTTTGGATTTTTTATGGATTCAAACTAAAGAGAGAAAATGCATTTGTATTGCTTCAAAAAGAAACAAATAATTAACAGCTAAACCTAAGTCCGTTTGATATACATTAAGATTGATGTTCCCTCCCTTCTCCAAGTTGCAGTTGACGTATTGTGCATAATTCCAAGTCACAGTTATATGATATGTTATCTTAAAACCCCTTTTGAATTTTAGCTGAAATCGTGTTCTGCCGTTTTTGCAGTCTTTGATATCTATCTGATTTGCAATGCAACTTTCAAGAAAGTCTTCGTCTTTACATGAATCATGCTTTTAAGACCCAATATACTTTTTAGTGAGCTATATGGCTAAAAATCAGAATTAGTCCGTAAAGCAAGTTATGAAACCAAATATCCTAGCCAGTTTATGAATTTACATCGCAGTCAAATATTCATTTTGGAGCACTTTGCGAAAAGAACTGCTCTCTAGGCAAAGCTGTCGACACGAAATTTACCGCCGCCAGCGCCACTAGATGTCTCTGTTCAGTGCAAAGGAGCTCGTCGTACATTTTATAGTCTTGGTGTGTTAACCTCAGTTGTTGAGCTGCCGGGGTGCACCTTAGTGTAAACAGAGACTATGGCTGACGAGGAGGGAGGGGGAGACCGGAATATCAACAACAACATGGGAAACCAGTTAGAGCTTTTACCGGGTAAAAATCGGGGGTTATACATGTTTCAGCTGATTGACCTAAGCTTCCTGTGAGTTAGCAAAAGGTTGAAAAACGTGCAGCAGCTATATGCGTCATAATTGCCTAATTTCGCTTTCACTTTGCACGAGGCCATTCTCATGACATGTTACAGTAAATATGAAGTGTTGCAGTTTAGATATGAGCTAAAAAAATAAATTTTCAGTAACATTCTGCACCTGATTTACGGTTTTGACTCGTGCACATAAAACAATTACCTCTGCACAAAGCCATGTCATTTTTGTCAAGTCATGGTATATCGTCAAGCTGTTACAATAATTATTGCTCAAAAAATTAAATAAAGGGTGTTTATAATTAGCTGTAACAAACTGACATTTGACTGTTTATAGCTGTCCTTGTGTGTACGGGAAATAATTAAACCAAAGACCTATCAAAAGGTTTGGTCTTGCATAATACAGAATATTACAGTAAGATCTGTATTCTTGTGCATTATGTCTTATAACCAATGTAGGTTAAACACCCTTGTCTACTCTGTGTAACTGTAACACACAGTATTAAAACGAAGTCATGCAGTTCTGTTTTGATTAGATTTTAATGTTTACCTAGAAAGTAGATACTAAAGTGACTGGCATAACAATTACAATGACCAATATCAAATTAGCTGAAATTCTGAGAAACAAGATAATAGTGTTAAAGGTATCATTGAGTATGAGCAATATTTTAGTTCATTTCTTTGTGTTTAGAAAATGAAGAGGAAGATGAAGCTGAGATGGAAACTGAAGATCATGACGGTGATGGAGCAGCAAAACCAAACATTATCAACTTTGACCCCAGTCTCCCAACTTCACATGCTGTAGGTGTCATACCAAATATAATGGAATCTTACCACACTGCTTCACAGATCCTTACTCATTAGCTCATGCCTTGTAATAAGAGCCTGGTTACTCAACATACAGTACTGCTCTTGCAGCATGTGAATGTTTCTGATGAGCTTGATGAATCCGTAAATGAGAGGTGTTTCACAAGAAAGGAGACGGGATGGACCTAAATGTACTATAACAATTGACAAGGAAAATACCTATAGGCACTGTCTGGTGAGATACAGTAGATGATTCTCAATTTTCTGCTTTTGCTTTTTGTGCTTTCTGGATTCGAAGGAAGTTTTTTTGTTCTTGTGTGAGGCAAGACCTAGTGTGAACGTAGTACATCCAGTATGCTTTCACTTATATTTTCAGTGCTAGTTTTGAGTTGCTATAATTCACAGTCCCCATGGCATGAGGGGAGAATTAAGATCTTTATTGTTTTTCAAGTAGGTATATTTAGATAATTGGAGGTTGCAGGCTATAGGCAAAAATCCAGCCCACAATGTATCTTTTGAAGGGATAATGATCAGTAACACTCCTACAAAAATGAAGGAGTTTTCATCATTAATATCAATCAGAAAACACTAGTGAAGAGAAGCTAGAAAGGGAAAACAGGACAGGCGACAGCAATCAGGTTGGGTTGAAATTTAGGAAGGATAGATCTTCCAGCAGGAGTGTAATGCTGGCAGGAAATTGAAGGTGTCTGTCCACTGGCTTGCAGTACCTGGGCATGGATATGGAGGAGTTCCATGGACGGACAGTGCACGATGAGGACAGCTGCCAGATGATCCCAGTGTTGCCTCACACAGCAGTCATGCTCATCCCTGGACAGACCTTGCCTCTGCAGCTGTTCAGGGCTCAGGAGGTCAGCCTGATGAGGAACCTTATCCAGAAGGACAGGACCTTCGCTGTGCTTGCTTACAGGTACAGTTGGACCAGTGCAATGATCTCTTCCCTCTGGCACAATGCAGCATGGTTCTACTGTCTTCTTGCTGAGACATCACAGCTGCGGGAAAATACATTTTAAATCTTATCTGGGATTTGATAGCCTGGCAGGTTTTTTTTTAGATAGAATGATTAATCGGGGTGGCACAGTGGAGTGGTAGTTAGCATTGCAGTCTCGCAATGGGGCCCTAGATTTAATTCTGGACCTGGGGTGCTATCTGCATGGAGTTTGTATAGTATGTTCAACTGGTAGGTTAATTAGCTTCTGGGAAATTGTTGTGAGTGTGTGCATGTTTGTCTGTGTGCATGGCTCTGTGTGTCTGCCCTGTGATGGACTGACGAACCATTTAGGGTCTACCTGGCTTCCCGTGTTTGCTGGGATAGGCTCTGACTTCCCTGCAACCCTGTAGTGGTTAAATAGGTTAGAAATGAATGGATGATTCCATTGTAATATTTATTGTATGATTGTACTGTGCATTACTTTTAATATCCTGTGACGTCACATATTTTCCCACCACCAGTAGACGCTCACAACTTTAGCAGAGTGGGCAGTGCAACTTAATTCCACTGTTCATTTCAAGGCGGAGATTAAACAGATATGTGCAGTACAGAGTGACTTCAAAGTATCAAATGGATCATTCCTGGAAAATCAGGGTTGAATGTTTATATTTTTAAGCTCAGTTGAATTGAGGGTTAACTTTTAATGCTAAAATCAAGCAACAGGCATTCATCTATTCTAGGGCATTTTTACATGGCCTTTGAATCTCATCAAAATGACTTAAATTAAGAGGAGATTATGTGACCTGTCATGCTCATTTGGTTCTAATTAATTTACATCATCCATACTGGTCATACTGGAATAAACACTTGCCCTGATCCTAATCCTGGCCAGTCTACACCAGGAAGACCACTAGGAAAGGACATTCATAGCTAACAGGTCTATGTAGGTCTCTGGGAGGTGAGAGGAAGCTAAAGTGCCTGGCAAAAACCTGTGTGAACGGCAAAAACAAAGGATCCGCCACGCACAAAACAGTGTTAGTGTCAAAGAGGTCTTGTTGCAGCTGTTGGATAAACTGGAGTTACAGTGTGTGTTCTCTCGTGTCTCAGTGATGCAGGGGACAGACAGGCAGAGTTCGGCACGACAGCAGAAATCTATGCATATCGAGAGGAGCAGGAGTATGGCATCGAAACTGTCAAGGTGAAGGCAGTGGGAAGACAGCGGTTCAAGGTGCACGAGATCAGAACACAGGCTGATGGGTAAGATGAGATCACTTTATTGGCCATATACAATTTCGTGTTTTGGGAATTTGTCTTTTCGCATACCCCAACTTGCTCTCCATGAGACATACAGACAGGGTGAGAAGCTTAGGGTCAGAGCATAGGGTTAGCCATTTATACAGTGCCCCTGGAGCAGTTGGGATTAAGGGCCTTGCTCAGGGGCCCAACGGAGTACGATTCCTCTGCTGGCCATGGGATATGAACTGGCAACCTTCCAGGTACAGGCGCAGATCCTTAGTCACAGAGCCACCGCAAGGCCTGGGTAAGGACTGTAATGGTGGGGTCAGTCTCTCAGGGGGAGACTCTGACAGCAGGGAGGTTCCCATGCATTACTGATTAACCACCATGCGGTTCAAACAAGTCACTTGTGTTTGTAGCCACACATGAAAGTGGTTCGTCACTTTCATGTCATTTCACATTAACATTCACATTGGCCCGAATGTTAGAGCAGATCTTTTAAAAGTGTTGCCCTTGATAGAGAACAGCCATCAAATAAAATAATAGGCTGTACACAGTTAATATAGAGGCCAGAAATAATCCACAACAGCAACGTTTCTAGATTCAATCAGTTTTTTCTTAGCCTGTTTTTTTCTTTCTTTTTTCTCTTATGCTCATTGAGTTTTGCATCATTAGTTCCTGTCTCTCCTGTTATAGTTAAATGCTTTATAATTGGGGAAATTGTGTATCACAAATGATGAAACGATTCTTTAATCTTTTGTTTGTGATTTGTGTAGTTATTTTTTGATGTACGGTATAGTGGTATTTGGAGACACTGCACTGTACATAAAAGGCAACATTACACGTAAATTCATGAATGTAATTTTCGGTGTGTAAACGCTTAATGCCTAAATTTCACTCGATGTGCAAGAAAACTGTGGTTGAGCACAAGCCTACTTATTTGCAATAGGTGCTATTTCAGCTATAAGTTCTGTTACTTGAAGATACATTTGATGTCTTAAGGTATTGAAACAATTTCTTATTTAATGTTTTGGTTACTTAAGAAATTGGTTCCTATAGTACATTTATGAAGTCGTACTGTAGTTTACCATTAGGTGGCACAAGACCCCTAAATTTGTATTCGAAGTACATGTTTCCATAGAGTTGAGTGCTTCAAGGCACAAAGCTTGTAAGTTCAAACAGAAAGCAGAGCATGTGGTCCCACACAAAGGAGTGGTGTTTCTATGTCTGTGCGGGGCAGTTGCTGTTATCATTGTATGCTAGGCAGACAAAGAGAAGTGTCCTTGATTTCACTGTGGGTAAACTCAGAAAATTCTAAATTAATTAAATGATAAGTTTGCCTCCAATTAATCCACTGAGGATATTGGAGCTTGTATGGATACAAGGAGATTTCAGTTTCAACAGGTTTCATTCCATGAAAGATTTTATCTTTTGAAAGTATTTTATCTAAAAGTTATTTGTCATGCATTCAGAATTTGCAATGTTTGACCAGCTGGATTCGTTTGTGTATTTGAAGCACTACCATAGGAGCAGTGTGTATCATGTTCGGGCAGCATGGAGTAGCGGATAGGACTTTGGTCTCCTAATTGGAGGGTCATGGGTTCATTTCTTAAGTGGGATGTCTCTGTTGTACCCTTGAGCAAGGTACTTTATTCTAATTGCCCCAGTACTCACATGAGTGACTTGCTGTTAAAATAGGTCTACAGGTTATCATTGCAAATAAAAAAATGTCCTTAATTGAGTCGCCTTGCTATTTAATGATTAAGTACACCTATTATATCTGAAATTAAACAAAGGTAATTTGCATTTATCTTGCCATCAGCCGGTGTTTCTTTAGTGAAAGTAATGAATGTGTTGCCAGTCCATTCTGAATTCATTTCCTCAGAAACCCTTGCCAAATATTCGTGGATAGCTGACAAAAAAGCCTCATTGTTTCTGTCACAGATTTATCTGGCTTCATTATGTGTTCACTTATGAAATGCAATTTGACTTTTATCTTTCGGGATCTGAAATTATACCTACAGCTTGTTATAAAAAAGCTATATAATGCTTATAGAGCTAAATGTTAAAAATGCAACCAATATAGCCTTTCATCTTGAGTTAAATCGCACTCCGTACTACATTTGTGTGTTTGATGTTAATCAGCTTCTATATGAGGAGATCCAGTCACAGAACTGAAGATGAACTTTTTTATTTTTATGTAAATTGCTGTAGTGTGGGAACTCACAGAATCAACGAGAAGTTTTGGATTTGGGATGATTAGTTCTGGATTTTTCTTTGCAGTTTTTTTTCTGATATTTGATTAAGTGTTAGAATATTTGAGTTTTGATTAATTATATCCAGTTTAGAAAATGGGTATGCAGAATTTGTAATTTAGCAAAACTGGACATAATTGGGAGGGTGTGAATACTTTTGCAAGGCACCGGTTAACCAATTTTTTTTCAGTTTCTTCCTGGACTATTTTAAGATGCAGGGCTGAAAGACAGCCTTGTGCCATGTGCAAAACTAGGATGAATACGTTATGTAACATCTTGGCAATGTTTTTCACACACTTGAGGATTATCTACCTGAACACCTGTACCTCAACGTGATACCAGTTTTTTTGTGTGTGGATCTTAAGGGAATTGGGGGGAGGTGGAAAAACTGCTTATTAGATAAGGCCAGAATGTTCAGATATAAACTTCATTTTCTAGCACTTATTCAATCAACTTTAAAAATTCAAGAGTGAATGTCTAGACGTCATTATGTATTATTAGAGACTTATTCTCTGCTTTGTGTTCTTGCAAGGTGCACACGTTTTCTTGTGTTGTTATAATTCTTTTACCCTTGCAATGTGAGGAGGCTGTATAACATGTCATATGGATTTTTGCACCGCACGAGGAGTTATCTAACTTTACTTTCGTGCACAGTTTCTTGTTCAGATTTTGCATTCAAAGTGTAAAGTTGTACCTTTACCACTGTATACAGTGTATATACAGTATATGAATGTGATAGGTTTCAGTGGTGTTCAAATTGCTTTGGACAGTTCATACGCTTACTGGATGATTAGGAACTCATACCTAATAATCTGCTAGCCCTTTGCAAGCAGCAAGAACAATTTAATCAGGATGTGGCCTGTATTTCACAAGGTCTCAAAATATTTTGAAATATTTCCAGCCCATTGTTAACCCATTCTTCTAGTACAGTTGTCTTCCGTTGGGATTGTGGTGAGGATAGTGGTGTGTGGGTCTGAATTGTGGTTCAGTTCGGTTTTTCAAGATTAATATCTGGGGATTGTTAAGGTCAGGATACGTAAAGGATAAATATAGGCTGTGTTGTGCTCCTGAAAACCAACCTGCCACTCTGAGATTTTTTTCAGCATGGAATAAACCTATTACTTGTTCCTTTGCAGTATAAGAAACCTAGTTTTTGTTTTCTTTCAAAAATGATGAAAACATAACTATGAATAGTTAATGTGAGATTTAATAAAATGATGAAACTGGGGCTCAATTCTGTCTGTGTGTGTCATAATTATCTGTCATATAATGGTAATCAAAAGAGAAGTATAGGTATCAGGTTTGCTTTTTTTCACTACATGCTTGTGTGAATTAAACATGCTCTTCCTCAACAAAAGATTTTTGAAATAAGCTTTTATATACATGAAAAGAACAGATTTGATTTATTCATACACCTAAAAAATGGATGACTTGAATACTGCTTATTTTTAAGTGTGTAAGAGCCAGTTTCTTTTTTTATTTGTTGTGGGCTGAAATGTTTGTACTGTGCAGTTAGGTCTGCATCGCTTAACATTGTTCAGATAGTCTAATCTAACTTTTTGTAATTAGTTGGCACACTGACAGTCGGTGATGAATTGGGAATACTCAATGAGTTTGCTCGTACTAATCTATGAAGCACATGTTCCTGTACTTTTGTAACCTTAGTAAAGACTTTTTAGTTTAGGTGAACATGCTTAATGTGAACATGCTTAATGTGTCTCTCAGAGCCAAACCCCATCCTTCACCTTCATGTAGCCATTTTGGGCTGAGACTGGCAGGGTTATGTAGTTGGTGGAGCCACCAGGTGCTTGTCCCAGGCCTGGCTCCAGAGATGGGTCCTAGTGTCCCTATTCTGAGCAGATTCCTTTTAGTTTTTACTGAAACCATCAGAGGTGTCTAGTTTGGATCGTTCTTTGTAAAGCCCCATACCTTAGACCAATTTGCCAAGGGTAACTCTACCAGAAGAGAAAGCTCCCAACAACATAGCTCTAAGGCTCCTTGTTTCTCACCTGGGGGAGCAAGCACTTAGACAATGCATGGATGTGTAATGTCATTCGTTTAGTTTAGTCATATGTGAACAGACCCTTCAAAAGGATATCTAACCAGGTCAGTCACAACAGCCTAACTGTTTATAAACCTTTTATACAGTTATTATTTCATGCATTTCTCTAATGAATTCACCAACTGTGACTTTTTTACTGAGAGAATGAAAGATACAAGGATTGTAGGTTTTTATCTCTGTAAAGGAAAAAATAAATTTGGCAGCACATGTACAGTACCATAGCAGTTTTAACATAGTACTTTTGCATATGAACTGTGGTTTGACTTTGTTTACTATGGTTTCCTTAGAATAGAATAGATCATAGGAGTACTGTGATATAACGTAAAGGAATATATTTTTTTGTACACAGTTATTTACTAATGATCCAGGATGGTACATTAATACAAATACGAAAAGGTTAAATAATTTGCAGAACAATTTAGACATTTTAAAGTGAAATAAATGTAGTGTAAAAACACAGTAAAGGTGTGAACGCTGGTTCCTTAAGGCATGTGGTCACTTGGTCTTCGTTTGTTGTTGGAGATCTTGAGCTGTTCCTGTGTGTTCCTCACTACAAGCAGCCATGGACACTGAAACATCACTGATGTGTTTCTCAGGATCAGACAAGCGAAGGTGCAGATACTCCCTGAGAGAGTCCTCCCTCCCACCCTGTGTGCAGTCCAGCTCAACTCCCAGTCCAGACTCCACATGCACACCGCATCCAGACCGCCTGCCAAGCAGTGCAGACAGGTGCAGCGCTGGTGGGACAAGTACCAAAAGGTGGGTCCTGTAGTAGTTTTATATTCTTTTGTGCTTGCACCTCAAGCTTGCTCTGATGCACTGAGCCTCTTTTCAGGGCACCTTTAAACAGGTTGACCTGTACGAGAGAGTCACACAGTCGTTCTAGGCACCGAGCGGTTTACCTACCCAAATGTTTTTCACTTCACAGTTAAAATTATTATGCAACCTCAACTTTATTCTTATCCAAGTCCATCTCTGATCTACCGGTGGGAAAAAAATAAGAGTTTGTTCTTAAGCACAAGGACCAAAGACTGTTTTGCAGCTAGTGCGTCAATTTAGCCATTGCACTCAAATAAATTAAATCTTCCGTCTGGACGCAAACTACTGGTGTTGCGTTGTCCATAGCAACTGTGCTCCTGGAGCAGGCCTCCATTGAAGCCACAGCTGGCATATGAAAATTACAGATAATGGACTTATTTTCTTGCAGAAGTGTACTTCAGTGATTTAGCTGTCGGCAAAAAACACGTGTCATGGATGTATCACATTTAGAAAGCTGTTGTCTCGGTGTGGAAGAATTGTCTTTTAAGTGCAGTATCCTTCTTCCTAAACATTTTCTGGAATTGGAATTAATGTAGGTCTTACAGTACGTAAGTTTTGGTTGTTAAGGCGTTGTCAGGTTTGAGAGGAAAGTGTGGGAGTGTGTAGTAGGAAGAATATTACTGTTGCTTTAATGTAAAAATGGACTGAATTCAGTAGTCGGCTACCTTAATAGTTCAATAGTTCATCAGTACTATTGATCACTACAGTTACAAATATGATCTCAATTACCTAATTGAACTAATTATCTGGAGAAAGAATCGGGTCAGCTTTAAGGGTTAGTCAATTTCAGTAAAATGTGACTCAGGCCATTAAGACATGGAGTTAGCTATGCTTTCTCTGAAATGTTCTGGGAGTAATTAGAAGAACTTCAGTGGAGACGTCCAGCTAAGGCTTCTAGCAAGGATAACAGGAGACTCCTTATGAGCCACATTTGAACCTCAGTGTTGGGCAGATTACAGCTATACATTCCATTTTGCATGCTCAGGGGTTGAGTAGCTCATTTCTCAGGAGCAGTCTTTTCCCTATGCCATTAAATGCTTCTAAACAATTTGCACAAGATTTAAATGCACACATCTAAATACTTGGCCACTGAGAAGTAAGGGTGAGGAAGATTTTATTTTTCATGCAGTTAGAAAACATTTTCTTGTACTGATGACATTTTTGTTTCTCAGTGCTTGCTGCCTCTCAGTCCTTGTTGTGCATTACATCCTGATATTTTTCTAGTACTCTTATCTGATTGTCACCCTGTTGCTTACACATTTCATTTGGTTCCACGGAACCAGTACATTTTGATGCTTTATTACAACAGAATGAGGCCTTCTTGCAGCATCACGCTTGGGGAAATCTCTCACCTGGCATCCCACCTGAGCTGTTTTGCGGTGTGTGATCCTTTTAATACCAAACTGTAACCTTTTCATTTCATACTTGATGTTTTTTTTACAGAAGAAAAATGAGCTCTAATCTTGCTTTTTAGTGAAGACAGACCCATTAAAATGTTCTAGCCATAGGCTGACACTGCTGTTAAAAGCATAAAAACATGAACATAAAACTATTTGCCAATACATTTTCTTAGCAGATGGAGAAATCCATGTGTCTAAAACTACATCATGTTTTTTAAAAGGCCAACTTGCTTCTGATAACTCATAAGGGGCCACTTCCATATTCTGGGTTCAAGTCTCACCAGCTAGCCTCTTATACATCATTTTCTTTGAAATTTGATCTGGAATAGGAATAGAACTACAGTATCTGTTGGTCATTCATTTATCAATATGAATCACAAACTATACAGTACCAGTGGACGAGTTTGACTATTTTAGGCCCCGATGGAAATAATCTCATGTGCCCCCTTCTCCTGACATCTCACACCAGAGGCACCATGATAAAATAATCTACTCACTCATTTCAAATGAATACTGCAAGCCATCTTGAGTAATGTCTCTTGGGATTGCCCAGGAAGGTTACAGTAACCCTTTATATATCATATATTGCCTCACATGTGTTATATTTTCCTAGTTTAATTCTCTTTATTTTAACCTGTTTAATAACCTTGCTAGACTGGGTAGGACAGACTTCCTTTCTATTTCCAGTCTACAAAACTACTGGACATTTGGATCAGTGTTCAAATGCTTTTTATTGTTTTCCGAACTTGTTTAATTATGTGTTTTCCCAATTTCTGGATTTTTGGGTGAGTTCCCTTTTTATGCCTTTTGTATTTGGTGTCTTTGGTCAGTTTTTCCATATTTCTTTTTAAAAATTGATTAATAAAGAACTTCTGTTCTTCGGGATTTTCATGTTTATTTTAGAATAACCTGACATGTTAATAAAACTTCAGATTAATAATTCATTTGATGCATGCCAAAGCAGAGACTAAATATAACTGATGGTTATCTATCTTAGAAAGCACTGTTCTGTGCCTTTTCATTTAAAGCCGAGATGAATTTTAATTAAATTCAGACTGATTAGTTATATCATGTGTAGCATTAATATATGCTCTTGGGGATTTATTTTGAAGATATTCACACAGAAGGAAATATAGTGAAATATTAATTTATTGAGAAAGTCACTTCTATTATTAAAGGTCTTGCAAAGCACGGGGATGAGTTTGTTCACATTAGATAAAGAAGACAAGAGGGCTCAGCACCCATGTTTGAAGAGCATATGCAGACCGAACTCATTAAGGCTTTTTTCAGACAAGACGGATGTGAAAAGACTGATTCTCATATCCCAGTGCCTTTAGGATCCAGATGTTCCCCAAGTGGTGTAACAAAAATGTGTCACTAGTTTTCCATCAAAATCAAAGAAGAGAAGAAATGGCCAGTCTCTTTTCCTATTTGGGATGTGTGGGGGAGAATAATAATTCACTGGTGTGCTGAAAGAATGAAACAGAGGAACACACGTACGGAAAATTGTACATGTATTGTAAATGCCCTTTGGACTCATTTTGAGTTTAGGAATTTAAAGTTGTGTGATTTTGCATAACTTTGCCATTACCTCATTTTACATAGGTGATTTTCCTCCCTCTCTTTAATGATGTCTTAGTCTGTTGAGTGTATTGAAAACCTACTGGTAAGATAATGTAACTACTGTAGAGGTGTGGTACTTTCATGTAAAAACGGTGATAGGATGAGACTTCCTTCTAACTTAATTTGTCACAGGGACTCAAGCTTCTTCCTCCCATAATTGTCAGATTTTGTCAGGGAAGGAACTGACAAGGTTTGTGTCTCAAACTGATTTTACCAACCTGTGGATTAAAGAGAAACCTAGACCTACTTCTGACAGTTAAAATGTCAGCTTATTCTTTGCAGGGAGAAATATCTTCAACTGCTGTTCGAAGGTTCTGATCCACCTGCTCTAGGTATCGTGAATAATTTTTGTTAGTGGCCGCTCAAGTTCTCTTTTTAAAATCTGTTCTTTTTTTTCAGAGAAAATTTCATTGTGCAAATCTGACATCTTGGCCTGCCTGGGTGTATTCCTTGTATGACTCGGTAAGTACAGGTATTTGACAATTCTGAGAAATCAAATGCTTTTTCAGAAATGACTGAAATGGAATCAGATGGCATCACTTCGTAGTAGTCATCACAGTGGTACTATCTGATTCTCTCACCAAATTTGGAAAATGTTTAAAACTGTTTATAATTTATTGCCGTTTTCCTGTTTTTTTTTTTAACTGGCTTCACAAAGTTATTTTAGTTGTTTATCTGATTGTAATGGAGCTTACAGTACATATGGGAATAATATATTCTGTATCGAAAAAAAACTAAAGATTTTTGTGTTTTAACAACTTTTCTGCCATTCAGAGAAACGTACGGTTTACAGAAGGATATACTTGTAAATAATCTGTAAATAATGCATTTCATAGATCTTTTTAATCATGCTTTTGTTTAAGTCCTTTCTCCACAAAGGAAATAAAAAGTGTATGTACACCTGTAACAGTTGTATGGTCATGCTCTCCGTACTCTTACCAAGAGTATTCTTTTAGTTGCATGAAGAAGTGTGTACTGAGAGGCAAGAATGTCTTTGTTTTTTGGATGGACTGTATTGTTCGTTTCTAATGGAGAAAAGCTGGGGTATGCGAAAAGACGCATTCCTAATGCAAGAAATTGTATAGGGCTAATAAAGAAACATTAAACATTAAACATTAATGGTTTGAGCAGCATTGGTCAGTAGGAAGTGTGCAAAATAAGATTGCCGTTCTCTGTTGTATTTGCTTGAGTAGAAGTGAATACATGCACATGGGGTTTACTATTTTAAAACAAGAGGATGCTTTAGTAGTTAAGCTCACAGTAAAGCAGTGTGTAGTCTGGAGGAGGAACAGCAGGAAGTAGCAGGAGATGTTCTTTATTATCTGATCATTGAATGATTTATTTTTTGTGGTCGTGCTGCATGGCATAGCGTCTGTAATAGCAAATGCGTGTATTTCAGGGATTCATCAAAGAAAGGACATGAGATTCCACCTCTTTTATCATTTCTGAGTAATAGTAGAACCTAGAAATGTTTTCAGTATGGTGCAGTCGCGAGAGGCACTATGCTCATATTCAGAGGCTCAGTGGAATTCTAAGAATGTGTTCTTACAATCTCTTCAGGGGATCTCAAGCCATGCTGCTTGTCACCCACTGATTCTACTGAGTTTTTTCATCAGAGAACTTGTTCTCTACAGGTCAAATTATTGATGCTAATGGAACTCCACATATGCAAGAAAGTGATCGTCCTGAGCTGTAAAAAATTTGCCTTCTGAGCTGTAGCAAAATTGATTATTCAATTCTGTTTAGTGCCACCATGCCTAACTAAATGAAAAATCAACTTAATTTATAAGCTTGACCGTTTTTCACATGCAAGGTATAGCCCCCCCAAAAGGGATAGAATGTGGAATTCTATCCCTTTTACCAATTAACCAATAATTACCTTATTCACCTCTAGTGTGGATGATTACAAGCATTAACCGATTAATCATCTAGTGGCAGGTCTTTTGTAATATCAGTCTTTCCTGACAGCCTGTCACAAACATTCTACAGAATATTTTTACTAACTACACAGATATTTACATAAAGTATACAGACTGTTGTGTAGAATGACAGACTAATCATATGCATGAAGTTCTAACTGTCAATATGCAAAGCATGCCCTGCAGATGCTTTTCTTGGAGGGGGGAAAGGGGACATTTTAAAAAGCTAGTCGTTTTCTGTAATGAAGGTTTAAAATGTGAAGTTTTACCTTTAGCCTTCTATTTAGTTTCACGTTTTTCTCATCAGGAAATTCTGATGGATAGAGTGAAGAGACAGCTACATGAGTGGGATGAAAATCTGAAAGATGAGTCTCTTCCATCAAACGCTATAGGTACTACTCTCCTGTCTTCCTTCCTCCAGTTTTTTTCTCACCCCTTTGTCGACTACATTATGTCCTTTTGTGCTTTTGCAAGGGGAAATGTCACCAGTTCTTCATGTCTGTGGCTACAATTCTTATTTTCAATTTGGTTTCTTTTCAGTACTGATTTATTTGGCAAATACTCTGTTTTGCCCAAATAATGAGGAACCCACAGTCCCGTCAATGGACACTCTCAGTGGTGGGTAATATCCAGATGTCTTAAGGAGCATGAGACATGCTTCCTCAACCTTCTCTAGCCAGTGCAATCTCCAAATCTAAATCCTGTTGAGTGCCGATAGAAGGTGCAGTTCCTAATCCTCACACCTTTATCCTCATCACAGTTACAACTGCAGGGGATCCTGCTCAACTGACAGTCATGGAACTGGGACGCAGATATTTCAGAACCTCTGAGCTGTGCTTGCTACTTCCAGGGGCAGTAACTATAGTTATTTAGTGGGGGTTCCTAACAGTTTGGCCTGCGTGTCTATCATTGGCATTGTGTCATCTTCAGTGCCAGTCTTTCAGGAATCTCTCTTTGCCTAGATTTCTCTTACAGAGTGGCAGCTTGCCTGCCCATTGACGATGCCCTGCGTATACAGCTACTCAAAATTGGCAGTGCCATCCAGAGACTACGCTGTGAACTGGACATAATGGACAGGGTAAGAATGCAAAATCTTGATCTGGTTATGAAGGGGATTCTGGGTTTGAGTATTTTTGGCTGTATTATTTCCAATGGAGATCATCTTATAATGGTATGAAAGTCCTTCAAAATTAAGTGCACCAACAATCTATACAATATGTATGTATTATCAAGTTTGTTGGTGTACTACCAATATATTTTAAAATACATAGTATATATGAATACAGCTGAATATAATGCAATTAACATTAGTTTCAAAGTTTGTCTCTTAATTCTCAATTATTTTTTTGCTTTTTTGTATCCACAGTGCACATCGCTTTGTTGTAAGCAATGTCATGACACAGAGATAACTACAAAAAATGAAATTTTTAGGTAAGTTTGAAGGGCATGTGACAGTTTTCCCCTGTAAAAAAACAATAGAGATCCATTTATGTGATTCCTTTTTACTTCTCTTCTGGACAGTTGTCTTCCTTCAACAGGTGTACTGGGGTAGCAGTCAGAATGGTTTGTCTGTATTGTCCAAATGATGCATTTTGAAAGCAGTTCCACAAATGCAGCATATGTGAGGTTTATGTACTGTAGTACTGGGGATAGCAGTAACCTGTGGATCTTTTATAGAGAAAAAAATGTCAGTATGCAAAACATCACAGCCTTGTACACTGCACTATTCTTGATTTTACATAAATATCTACTGAATTAGTGGATATGTATCATAGTGCGTAATCGATTAGACTCATAAGTGGCAGATTTTGGGTTCACCTCGTTACAAACACTCCACCCTTGGGTGATATGCTTTACCCAGTTTCTCTAGTCCACCCAGCTGTATAGGGCAACAGAATTACTGAGTGGTAATCCCTGTGATGTACCACTATCTCCAGGGGAGAGTTACGTGATCTCTCCAAATAACACAGTGGAATCCAGGATGGGCTCTAGCCTCATGAGCCACTGTGGCTGTGGTACTTTACCATTTGCCTGCCTACCTTCTGAACTGAAGTGTAAGCTCTGGAGGGGTGCCTGTAGACCAGTTGGACATATCCAACTCGAAAAGATCTTGCAACTGCCACCATATACATTTTGCCACAAGTCTGGATCATTGCCTGAGGGTGTCTGAGCAATTTAGTTGGGACAAACTTAAGAACATAGATAGATAGATACTTTATAAAAGAGATGTTACAAATGAGAGTGGACACTGGGCTAGACTAGCCCGTTTGGTAATTAATAGTTAATTGGTCCAAGGATTGTATCCAGCCGTTTCTTGAAACAGTTTACTCGCTTCTCCCTCCAGGAGGGTAAAGAATTAACTTGTGTTCTAGGTTTTAAATGCACTTCCACACAATTTCCACTTGTACCTTCTGGCTCTTGGTTCACTGTACATTCTGAAGAAATCTGAGATCCCCTTGTAGTCTTCTCTATTCACAAATAAAAATGTTTACAGTCACATTTAAATGTAATTTACATTCATTGGAATCTTCAAATGTGTGATAATTCAAGGTAAACTGCAGATGAGCAACCAGTATGAAGTGCTGTTGTGGCTAATCCATCACCTTTACCAATGAAATCTAATGGAATCATTGTCAGTTGTTCCTTGAGGCGTCAAAAAAATATCAATGAACTGAAAGGAGGAATCCTTTCATAGGGAAGAATGGTCTAAAATTTCTTCTAACCATTGTGCAAGTCTCATCAGCAGATACAGGAAACGTTTGGTGGAGGTTATTAATAATAATAATAATAATTGCTTACACTTATATAGCGCTTTTCTGGACACTCCACTCAAAGTGATTTACAGATAATGGGGACTCCCCTCCACCACCACCCATGTGCAGCCCCACCTGGATGATGCGACGGCAGCCACAGTGCGCCAGAACGCTCACCACACATCAGCTCTCAGTGGGGAGGAGAGCAGAGTAATGAAGTCAACTGATAGATGGGGATTATTAGGAGGCCATTATTGGTAAGGGCCAATGGGAAATTTAGCCAGGACGCCGGGATTACACCCCTCCTCTTTTCAAGAAACGCCCTGGGATTTTTAATGACCACAGAGAGTCAGGACCTCGGTTTTACATCTCATCCGAAGGACGGCACCTGTTTACAGTATAGTGTCCCCGTCACTATACTGGGGCATTAGGACCCACATGGACCACAGGGTGAGCTCCCTGTGCTCCTTTATGGTGGCTAAAGGAGGTTCTACCAGTTACTAAATATAAGAGTTCACATACTTTTTCAAGCCTGGACTGTGAATGTTCAAACGATGTGTTCAGTACTGACAAGAAGCATTTTTTGTGTGTTTGTGTTAGTTTAAGCAGATTGTGTTTGTCTGTTATTGTGACTTAGTTGAAGATCAGACCACATTTTTATGAGTAATTAATGCAGAAATCCAGTTAATCCCAAAGGGTTCACAAACGTTTTCTTGCAACTGTACTTTCAGGATGAGCTTAGCTTAAAAATGTCTAACATTTCAAAAGAACACTATCTCTGCATAAAGAAGGAAGAGCACTGCATGAAAATGTTAGAACAACAAACTATCTGAGTGTTTTGCACAGCAGTGTGTGTCTGAAAGCAGCATATTGAGTGGTGTTTATTTGTTGGCCTTTGGCTAGACAGTAGCAAGTAGACACTTTGGAGCCAGAGCCTCAGATGCACTTTGTTTTAGTTTTGTAAAACCCAAAGCCTCAAGCGAAGGGGAGAACTCAACTGTTGAAGGGAGATGCCATAGAAAATCACGCATCCAAGCCCATAGAGTTATATATAAATGTGACAGAAACAGCAACAAGTTACTGGAAACAGCAGTACTATAATACTGCATGACCTACAGAATCCTTGCTTACAGAGTGATGGATTACTGGGTATCACAAGTTGGGGGGACAGTCATCACCACAAAGGTGGTGGGATAGCAGTTTATATAAAAATGGTGTAAAAGCAGAAGAATTTACAAGAGTTAATTTTTATGAATCTTCATAACTCAAGCAAGATAAAAGTTCAAGGGGTATAGTGTTAGGTGTCTGTACTGACCAACTATCTTGGATCCTAAAATTCTGCTTTAGTATATTGTGCTGTTAGATCTACATGTAGCAAAAACGCAAGTATATTGTTGGGAAAATCCTGCAGTTGAAATTGTTTGTACAGGCTTTCTTACCCAGAATGATCTGTTGTTTTCAGGTGACCCAGATAAACAGAAAAATGTAAATTAGAAGTTAGAAATAAGAAAAAAGTATTTGCTTATTAAATGCTTATTACAAACCAAGATGGACAGAATATAAAGAAAAATATTTTTTTAAATGCAGACTATATCAGAATGAAACAGATCCTAGTTAGATTGACATCAATTAGATTGGAAATTAATAGATATGCAAAGTTGCACCTCAAAAATGTGCTACAAAGTTTGACTAATAAACTCTAATCCTCAAACTTAAAGCTGCTGGAATCCAAGTATAGGCACATGGATAAAAATAATGGTTAAAAAGGAAATAGGCAACTAATGAGGAGTGTTACTTCAGCCTCTGTGAGATTGATAGTGGGGTACCTCAGGGATCAGTTTAGGTTCAGTGCTCCTCCTGATCAGTATGAATAATCTGTTCTCTAGAACAGTGATTAAACCTGTCAAATTCTAGATGATACACAAATAGGTGGCATTTCAAATAGTTTAACAACTCCACAAGTAATACAAGAGGACCTAGAATGAATCCAGGAATGAATAGACCAGGTAAGACATGCCAGGAGCGAGAACGTGAAATTAAAATATCAGAGGGGAATGCTGGACTTGGAAAAAGCAACATATTAGAAATTTTGAGGATTGTAGTACTAAAATTCATTACTTTGACTTGACAGTGTGAAGAAGCAATACGATTGACATGAAAATGCTTGGATATATTGTTCAGGGTATAGAACTGAAGTCCAGGGATGTTACATTAAATCTGAGCCTGTAACCAGTGCCCTGGACTTGTGGATAAAGCTGGCTCTGGGTTTCCATTTCAAAAGAACTGATAAAATACCTGAAACATTCGTCTACTTGAAACCAAACATGCAAGCTGGGCAAAATGGCGCCCTTTCATTTGTAACCATGCTTATTTTTATGAAGCCCTGGACCTTGATAATAAAATAACTCTCAAAGATCCGCAAGTATGTCTAGGTTTACAGCAATAACAAATGTACTGTATACAAAAATGGTTTGATATCCATTGCTGTTGTTTAAGAATGTCAATGGTTACAGTGCCTTGTAACTCAGGAAGAGCTTCAAGATACTGCACTATATACAGTACCATATTTTGGATTTTTCTTTTGATGTCAAAATCTAGGCATCCACAATTTGTTTCATGAAAGTAAAAAAAACCATTTTAATTTTCAAACCTAAGACTGTTATTCAGAATGAAATGATTACCAGCTGCCTACTGTTCTTTCAAGAGAAAATAGCAAAAGACATTACAAGCACGATTTAGAGTAATTATGTAATATGAGCAAGTTCCTGGGGAACAAAGGCGAAAGAAAGTGTTTAATGAGATAAAACCAAATGAGCGACAAATGCTTAATGGAAAATGATAGGTGAAGTGGCGGCCTCTGTACCATTGTTCCATGTAGAGTATCTTATGATGCTCTGAGATTTCAGGGGCTTTGGCTGTCTTTAAAGTAATAGTACAAATAATTCCTGCTTGTATGAGGAAAACATATTTTCCTTATGTGTATGTGGAGCACCTGTTGGGTATATTTTTTAGAAGTATATACTATACATAGAAATAACTAAAAAGTACCAAGTAACATATCTTTATTAAAGTAAATGATGGGGTGAAAGTTTTTGTTACTGAATTTGCTCATTAATGAGATTCTGTTATATGTACTGTATGTGGGTGTTGGTGCTCACTTTTGTTGACAGCAATAGAAAGGCTTTGATTTTGTTTTGTCACTATACAAATTATTAAGTTACTCAGGTCAGACAATGTCAGTTTTGTGTTACTGTTAGGCTGGATATTGGAAGTGTATTTCTTTTGGGAAATGATCACTCTTCCTACTGCCAGTATTGTCTCTGCTGTGACCTGTAGTATGTTAAACATGAATAGGAGGAGTACAGTAGTCCTTGTGTCTGCAAAATATTTTCAGGTAGCTACTTGACAATGGACAGTTGCTGGGTAGTTGTCTGAACAGAACTGAGGATTGTAAAGCAATTGAAGGAAAACCACGGTTTAGAATTTCTCTGAGAACATGTACAGTTGAACCCAAAAGAAACTGAAGATGCTTTCCACAATATTCCAAAACAAAACAGGGGTAGAGACTCCTTAAATTATATATCTGGGGGGCATATGCTTCAATACAGACATCACCAATGAATCATCCTGACATTTAAAGATGGAAACAATGGAGGTAGTGGGTAATAGAACCTCAGACATATCTGGATTTCTAGAGAATATTTAACATTCAGCAGATACTGAGTTACCCACTGGTGGAATATTTCTGCTTCATTTTTCTGAAGATTGCAGTGCACAATAATTTATGTGGTTTGCCATTATTACCAGCAGAGGACTTCAAAGTCCATCATGCATCAGAAAACCTGTTGGTTCATATAACTTCACATGCTGTATCCGTTTATTTGTTGATTAAATGTTCAGGCAACAGTGCGTTAAGCGTCTCTTAAGTATTTTTTTTCTGAAAAATGCCAGTATCATTGTACTCATTGAAGTGTTTGTAAACCTTATTTACCTGTTTTACCCTAACCCAAAAACAGTAAGTCAGCAAATGCTATTCTTGAAAATGTATTTCTATAAATGTTTTTATATGAAAACTGTTTAGAATATAAGGGTTCCTTATCATTTTAATGAAGTTTTTTTTTATGATCTGAGGAGCTACAGAAAAGCTTGTTTATGAGACAAGTGAATGGGAAACATTATCAACCTTGCCCTCAAGATGTTACCTCATTGATCATTTTTTAGACATAATAAAATCCAAATTGCTCTAAACAGCCACACAGTGGAAGATGAAAACATTTAGTGGTAGAAATCATTTTTTAAGGTTATTAGGTCTCCGATGCATTATTATCCAACTCTTTTGATCACTAAATCATCATGCAGTGTCAATAAATGTGAACTACTGTACATGCTGTTTTCATTTTTTCCTTAAGGACTGTTATTATGTTTTTTTTCTTGTTTTGTGTAGAAATGTTTGAAAAGCCTGTTCTTAGAATGTGAATTCTATTGCATTGTGCTTTGTTTATTTGAAATGTATAACTCCACACTCCACTTACGTTTGTCAGAGCCTGGGAGGCTTTCGGAGGGGTAGTTGGCAGACACTTTTATGTACAGTATTTACTGCTAAGAAAACTGCAGGTGGGAATTTTGTGTAGCACAAAGCATCATCCATATCTAGGGGACTTCAGTGCCCTAAGGTTTGGGATTTGTAAAAGCCCTATATTGGATTTCCCACCAATATAAAATGTTCTGATTTTTCTTCTTTGCTCTTCCAGCCTGTCTTTGTGTGGACCCATGGCTGCCTATGTCAATCCCCATGGATATGTTCACGAGACCCTGACAGTGTACAAGGCAAACAACCTCAACCTGACAGGCAGGCCGTCGACTTTGCACAGCTGGTTCCCAGGGTAACTTACGTGTTTTACTTGACTGTTTGACCAAGTGTCAGAGGCCAAGGAGGCCCTGGATTGCTGAAGGAAATCCAAAACAAATACATTGTTCCGTGTCATGTCTGCCCTCCTTCTACATCCTCTGTGTGAGTTACACCCAAATCAGATAGCTTCACCTTCCATCAAACATAAAACAGTGTGACCCAGTAAACCCAGATTTCTAGCCTTTGGCTTCAGCCGGCTTGACTCTAGTACTGATACAGGTCACAAGTGGAATTAGTTCAGTAATTTGTGATGAGAGACCAGAGGCCATCTGTGCATTTCACAGGCTGAACTGCATGGTCTCTAAGACCATGTGGGATGTCCGAGTGATGAACGCAATTGAAGTAAGGAGTAAGGTTAATTTACAGAGAATTTAAGAGAATATTATGTGACATAAAAGCTGCTTTTGGCCAACAGTTTTTTTATCATGTTTTTTGATCCACTGTTTACAGACATCTTACACATCATATTTTGAAAATATGAAACTTAAGAGCCCTGTACCATATGTATAGGTGTAGAAATATAAATGAAACAGCTAGATCCAAGCCAGTTGCTTAAGAGTCCTGTTTTGCTTATTCACTTTCAATAAGATGTTAAATTAATAGTAAAGAACAGATTGCACTGCACACTGAATTCTTCCCCCAAAACTGTTGTGTTTCATGTAAGCAGGAGCTAAGGGCCACTGAAAATATATTAACTTATGAAATATCTCTGGTATTCCACAGACTACATGACAATGAGGCCTGTATGTTCTGCTTCACTCTGTCTCCAATATCTTGTATTTTGTGCTTTTCAACACACATTAATTTCAGCTGTACTTTAGCTGTATTATGTAAAGCAATTACAGAAGTCACTATGTCTTATGATTTGTTACGTTGGATAAGCTTACAAATATTTTTTTAAATATTTCTTGTAGGGTACAGTATAAGCCCTATTTTTCTGTCACATCGTTTCATTGCAGTGTATTTTTATGAGTCATTAAAGTGAGTGACTCTTGTTAAAGGGATTTTTAGTGTGTTGGATGTGTTTAGTGTGTATCTACCTTATCAGGTAAAGTCTAGTAAATCCACATTGCTTGTAGGGTATATGTGGGGTTCAATTTTCCCAATTGTAAATGAAGCATAAAGGCAGTTTGCCCATAATTGGGACTATGGTGTTTTGAGTTTGTAAACTACAGTTTAAGATAAGTAAGAGTCCTACAAAAAATGCAAGGTGGAAAGCGCAATCTTCTGTTTCAGATTAATGCCTGTTTAATTGTTTCTTTTCTAAAATCTAAGCATTCTTGTTAATATTCTAAAGTCATGAATAAGGGTACTTTAAGTAATAGTGGGTTATATGTCCATCAGTTTTTGCTTACATTTAGGAAAATAGTAATAAAAAATGTTTTCAAACTAGTTTGTATTTCCTGTGGTCCATGGTTTTTCTACAAATTGAATAATTACATGTTACATCTGATAGGGGAAATCTTGAATTCTGAAGATATTGCAAATGAGTCTAATAGAAAGCTGATAAAACCTGTTTCAAATCTTTAAAGCAGATGCCTTGGCCAACACATGAACTTTAGTATTTGACAAAACAGAGTTGTTCAAAGTCTTAAATTGTGATCTCTCCACTTGATGAGCTCTGTTCTGTCAGTTCAGATTAGCTTGTTCTGCAGTTTTTATTCCAGTGAAAATATGAATTTATTTTTGGTACCTAAAAGTGTGCTGTAGAATTTTATCTTGTTTCAGACTTAGGTACAAGTAATTAAATATTATGGTACAGTACATGTATTGTGTGAGGTATTCAAGTTGTCTGTTTTAAAACAAGAGGCCCTAGTCAGATTAACAAATCATCAGACCTTAAGAAAAGAGCCCAGCTGGTTGGAGCCATACTATTTTTTTCTTTTACTAATTTTTACTCGAAAGGATTCCTAACAGAGAGCAGCTGATAGATGGCATATCCTGTGACTCTCTTATGTTTAGCCTCAAGACACAAATGGGAATTATGACTTTGCCTGAATTAGGCCAAGACTGAGAAGAGCTACAAAATAAAAGGTTTTTTAGACAAAAAGTGGCAGGATTTTCTATGGTTGAGAAATGCAAAGCTTGTAGGGAAGACGTTTATTCCTTCCAGGAAGAATTGACCTACTGCAGTTCTGTAATGCCATCCTTCAATGGATTGGGGACGAAGACAGAAGACAGTGTTTGACAAATTAGCTGCTGTTTGTGAGCCTGAGGTTAGAATGTGTCTCACAGCCACTGTACACTGCTTTTCCTTGAGAAACCTCAGTAGCAGTGCCATGAAACAAGGCTTCATTCAGTTTGCTGTCTTTAAAGGTTATTTATAGTAATGTTAATTGATAGGTTAAATGCACATAATTGTTTTGCCGTTTTTATGTGATTTTTTAGCTTGGCTCTTCATTACTCAGGTCATTTTGTTATTGCCTTGCACAGCAAATTCAGAACTACAGTATGTATTTTCATGTGAGGGATGCTTGGATAACTGAAAGAAATCCCAAATAAACCATTCTGTATGAGCCAACAAAAACTTTTTTGGAACAAAAGTAACCTAGGTTTAACAACGTGTTACTAAAATTCAGGCTTATTGGACTCCCAGTCAATTCCAGAAATCCAGTTTTCTACACTGTTTGCTACTACTTCTGACTGATGCCAAAGAATGAGCTGTGTCGGTATAGCGCAAAGCATGCTAGCTGTCTTAATGCTTTGGAGCAATAACTTGCATTTTCGATTGGTATTAACACAAAACAGACTTAATGTTAAAAAGTAATGGCATGTAACTCTATGAAATATGACATGTGCTTGTATGATGGTGCTTTTGGAAAGTGGTGTTTGTGACTGGAATTCCCTGTGTTTTGTAGATACGCCTGGACAATAGCGCAGTGCAGAACCTGTGGCTCTCACATGGGCTGGAAATTCACTGCTACCAAGAAGGACATGTCTCCACAGAAGTTCTGGGGATTGACTCGCTCAGCAATGCTTCCTCGCATCCCTAAGTCAGAGGATGAGGATGAGGAGGAAGGCTCCAGGCAGCTTTGCCTGTAGTGTGAATACCGAAAAACCAAGAAAGCTTCCTTGTCAGAATTCACAAGGAAAGTATACTGGTTCTCAAATAAGTACATATTAGTAACAATAAACAATTATGTAATAAAAGCTGGCTTGTGACACCCGCGTATACCTACAGTTTATGTTTCCAGATGGTGGAGGTGGTTAGCTGTGTCAGAAACCAGAGAGCAATATGCAACTTATAATGTGCCAATAACTGCAGTACAGTGCTGTGAGCTAGGGAGAAAAAAGCTAACTTAATGCTCAACACTCTCATATCCTAACCCAACCATGCTAGCCTTCTGAGAGCCGGGTTACTATGGGTTCATTATATCATACAAGACATAACATATCTACATATCTAATATAGCATTGGATTTCTAGCGTTTGAGTTATATAATTTTTTTCTCCCTTTTTCAGTAGCCTGTGGTAATCTAGGAACTTCATAGTTTGCAGTGTCTCAGTGGTACTGCAAAGAATGTGCAAATCTGCATGTGGTTCAGTAGGCTTTTTAGTATGGCTAGACATGTACTGTAGGGAAAAAGATACTGTTCCCTAAGTCTGTTTTCAGTAAATGACCTGTGTCAGGTGTCATTGTTTTAGTCCTCAGTGTTAAAGTTCAGATAACTGTGACATGTTACTAATTCTTTCTAAAAATAATACATTTGGATACAGTATGTTCAAAATTTTACCATGTTCAAGGAATGTTAGACAAAAGAAATCAAGTACTGTATCTTTAGTGCATATATTTGGGGGTTTCATAAAAAGATTCCACATTTTCATTAATATCCCTGTTAGATGTTGCATAATGTTCACATGCAGTTCACACTTATCACTGAGGGTCCAAGAAGGAACCAATACTGCTGAAAACTGTACCTGTCTCGATTGGCTTCAAATGAGTTCATTTGAATCATATTTTTGTTAATTATGGAGATAAAAATAAAATGAGGCAGTTGCAAAGAGGGACATGTTTTTACATTTTTAATTGTGTTTTTTGTTTTGCAGGAGTTTATTTATTTTTGATTGAGATCTTTTATTTTTGGTACTTGCTGCTGTATGAGATATAATGTGGCTCATTGCGTCATTGAGTAATAAGACAATTTTATTGCATGCATTGGGAGTGGAACACCCAGACAGATCTCACATCTTAACTATGTGTTGTTAAATGTCTTAAACATTCTTTTTAGTTCCTTATGAAAAGCAGGAAATATTTTCTATGCTTGAATTTTTTTTTCTCTCAATGTAATACTTGGCAGTTGCATGTTAAACAAAATTCTCGTTAATTTCCTGCACATATGAATTTATAAAATGTCTCCACACCAGAATGTTTGTAAATGTGTCAGTTTTGTTATCAAAAAGGTTTTTTAGTTATTTGATTTCATCTATCCATCCATTTTTTAGCTTCATCCACTTTCAGAGTCGGGGGAGCGTATCCCAGCAAGCAGTTGACAGAAGGCAGGACAGTATGCTAGTCCATCACAGGGCAGACAGGTACATGTACACACTCACAGAAGGGCCACTTTTCCCAAAAGCCGATTATTCTAGCAGTGTTTTTGGACTGCAGGAGGAAACTAGAACACCTAGAGTAAACCCATGTGAACACGAGGAGAAACAAACTCCATGCAGATAGCACCCCAGGTTCGGAATTGTAATGCAAATTCAATTCATTTTTTAACTTTTTTACAATTCCAAACATGTACATCATATAGGCATTTTCTGATTTGCAAAATGGGCACTTGGGTGATAAATTAGCTTTAAACTGAGCCATTATCAATGGCGTATAATATATACGAAGGAGTACATTAAATTGACTTAATATATGTTTAGTGGTAGTTACATTTTTGGGGGAATTTCATTATACTTTCTGTCATTCTACTACTGAATATTCACATTGCAAATCCTGTTCACATTTGACCTTTTTTGGATAAAATCACATCGCATTTCTGAATTCAACACATTTTAGAGATAAAACCTTTAAGGGTTTAAATACTTTGGATTGTCTTTTCAATTGATGTTTGGTAAACAATAGAAAATACTTTTTTTATTTTACTGTATCCAAGTTTTGTGTCTGCAAATATTTACACATTTTTTGAGGTATATTATGTTTTATTGTCTCAAAATCTAAAAAAAGTTTCCTCACCACATAAATCATCTAGTTCAGTAATACCGTTCTCCTGCCATTTAAGTAATACTATCTAAAATAGATCGTAGAACAAAGAAGTATCCCATAAAGGAAGAAATTAAGTCAAAATTTTACTTTTTCCCCAACAATTTATGACATTCTTGCCGACATTTATAGTAGTGGTGTATACAGTTATTGGTTCACTATTTATCGTATCTACAGCTTTCAAGGATTCCATTTAAAGTATGGCTCTTAAAGATGTATTCACTATTTGTTGCTCCAATAATAACCAAGATGGCATAGCTAGGTTTAATCAAGTTCCAAATACATCTTAATTGACCAGCCAAATAAAATAACAAAATTTGGAATATGTAAACTTTTTCAAAAGGAGCTTACAGTGCTGAAACGTACCTTCCGTTTTCCCAACATAAACTGCTGTAATATCTCTGTTAGTTAATATTGCTAGAGCTTAAGGTTCAATGGCTAAAGAAAATAAAATAGATACCTCTTCCCAGTGTAAAGGGCTTTGATAACTTATCATTAGTAAGTATCTATGGTTTAGTTGATTTGTAAAAACTTCTAATGAAATTCACAAATATACTGTATCTCCAAAATTCATCTTAATGTTTGAAATAAATCCCACCTAATCTATAAGGTGTTTTCTGCATCTAAAGCTAACACATAATGTGAATTTACGTCTTTTCTTCATATTTCAATCATATGCAGGAGCTTTCTAATGTTTTCTGACCCCTGTCTCTGCTGATTGAACCCAGTTAAGTCATCATGACAATATCGGTTGGTCATCATTGGTATAACTGGCTCCAGTCTACATGGAAACATTTTTGTAACCTACATTTAGAAGAGACAGTGGTCTGTAACTACACATAACTCTCTGTCTTTTATTGGTTTTAAAAAGACAAACTGGATAAAACTGAATGCATGGTACCAAGCTTCAAAAACAATGATGTTTTCCCAATATAAGCAATTAGTGATAAATTGATGACACACATATTTGCCATCAATACAGTCCAAATACCTCATTTACAGCATACAAAAAGTGGCACTTTTTGAGAAACCCCACTAAAAAGATGTAAAGAATATATTTCATTAACTTGTGAAATGTGAAGTTCAGGCTAGGAAAATAGCACCTTTAGAGGCTTAGGTTTTGACTTAACTATTTCATATTGCTGTTAAGCTCCTATACATTTCTACCAGTAAACTTTACAGTGAATTTCTTGTCTTCTGTTTTTGTTTTCTACCTGTTTTTTATGTGCTGAACAGTTACAACATATCAGTACCTTTTCCGCAAAAGTATAGAGTGTTTTTTTATTTATTTTATGAAATCTGGAGAAATTCTTTGAAGTATGTCTCCTTTTCTATAAATATATATACAGTAATACAACAACAAACTTTGGTTACATCATTTGAATTATTGTAATTTAGGGTTCTCTTTATGCTGTATGTTGAGCATTTTTATTTATTCTAAAAGGGAAAGTAATAAAATTATCATTAAAAATGAAGCTATCACTATTACAACCCAGTAAAACGATGCAGTGATTTCCCATTTGTTTGGAGGTTTAAATAGCTTAAGTAAAGCAAAAATCATTCTCTTATTCCTACAACAGTTGTTTCAAGTATTGTAGAAGTATACGCATTGGATTGTACTAGAGCAAGGTTTTCCCAAGAAGTCAAGTGTCTTAATATCCCAGTTTGTTTTGCTGAAAATCGTGTTACATCTGGGCGGAGTCATCACCTGACAGGCGAGGCCAAGCTAATTAGCCAAAGAGGGAATGAAAAGCACTCTGAAGATTTTGCTGTTGCAGTGGAGCATCCATCATGTGGGATATTAAATAGATAAAAAATATTTCTACAAATAAATGGTCATGCTAAAAGTTTTTCTATAACATTCCTGAGATATTTTCAGATCTTGAATCTTATGTCAGTATTACACTACAGTATATTGAACAAACAACACCCAAATGATACAATGATTGCATTTGAAATTAGTAACTTCAAAAGTAACATTCACCAGATACAGACCTCATATTGCAATAGTGTGTGTTTATTTTAAAACGATAAAAAAGACTTCATAACAGGCACTGAACAGAAACACATCTACAAGAATCCTGACAGAGCCTAGAGCCAGCCTTTTTTTTGGCCCACTTAGATCACTACAGTACCTCTCTCTCAGTCATGTCTGCTCTTCTCTTCCTGCTCCTTCTAATATCATTCTTCTTCAGATATCCAGTGCAACCACTCCCCTGGGGCTGCTCTCCGCTTCTTTTCCCTTCTGCTCTCGCTCTCACAACGCAAGCCTCGACGCAGGTGCCATCACGCAGTTCCAGTGCAGTCATATACAGAGCTGCATTGCTCGTTCACAAGTTCAGTCACACAGAGCTGTTGTTTACTCACCAGTGCAGTCATGCAGACCCATGTTGCTCAATTGCCAGCAGTGCAGTCATGCTGCCCGATGTTGTTTGCTCTTTATTAGAGCTGTCCTTCATTGCTCAGTCACACTGCCAGTGCAGTCTCACTTTCCTTTGATCCATGATTTTTTGCATTAGGGGCCTGCAACCCACAGTGCCTTCACGCCCAGCAATGTCCTTATTTTTTTGTCCCTTTCCACTTCCTCAATCCCCTCTTTATGTTGTCCCGATAGGAGCCATCCTGAGTGTTGATGCTCACTGTGTCTCCTCCACAGGCTGAGCACAAAGTATCAATCTCTAGGCTTAATCGCTCACAGTTTCTGTGTTCTGTCTTAAACCTTGATTTCCTACTCCAATCTGTTCCACCTGTACCCTGTAGTCTTTCGGGTACTTGAGGCTCACGCTCCCAGAGCGCACTGTTCTGGGATTTGTGATTATCCTGAAAGACCATGCTTGAGTTGCTTTTTTAGGTATTTCACCTGGAATTCATGCTCATAGTCTTTCAGATATAGCAAATGGATGAGTCAAGTCGCACTTACATTCAGTATTCCACTGTTTTTGTCAGTCCGTCCATCCACTCACCGACAAGCATCAGCAAGTGGTTTGTCACAACTGAATGTAACAAAGCGGGAGTGGGAGGAGCCGCAGTGAACACCGGTAAAAGATCTGAGTGGGCAGAGGCATCAGTGTGAGGTTAGTGAAAACTGAAAGAAAACACACAACAAAAGGAAAATGCACTTTGAACAGTGGCATCCAGGCTGAACTGTCCCTATCTAATGGGGTCCAGTCAGGAAGAAAAAGAGCATGAGGCCAAAATGAAAAAAACTCAACTTGTCCCGGTGGAGAAACACAGTGGGACAGGGGAGAAAAAACTCCACCTGTCCCAGCGAGAGATACATGGCAGGACACGTATAAAATAAAATGAAACTAAAATGTGGCCTTACGCTCTCTCTGCAGTCCCCTCCAGGACTGTCACTGGATGGTCCTCCCCTTGTGGGTGTTTGCTCGTCCCTCCAGGGAAGTGCTCAGTGTATTCTGATAGGGCTCCCACAGCTGTGGCTCGTCCTTAATCAGCTAGGACAGCTGTCCTTAATTCAGGACTCCGCCTCCACCTTCAACAGCTTCAGGATTGCACTCCCAGATCAGCTACCAATCAAATCCTAGACTGATGCTTCTCTGATACCTATTTTGCATACACCCACCTGCTCCAGAGTCATGCAACAGTGCACCACAAGCTCTGTCATTGATGTAGTTCCTTTAATTTTTTCTGGAGGTTTTGTCAGCCATTTGCTCAGCCAGGCAAGTTACACCTAATTTAAATTCACTAGCCCTATAGCTTCCATCATCCCATTGCTTTAATTAAGTTTTGAGCTAACTAGTGAAATGGAGTTTGTAAGCAGAAGTTTGGGAGGAGGTCAAATTTCTACTTCAGCCCACTTCTGCTTTTTTACACATCTTGCCCTTTTGCAGGCATCTTTTCTCACACCCCTCCCCCACCCCATTTTCACCCTTGCAGCAGCTCCCTTGCTCATTCTTTCAAGTAAGAAAGATCCTCTCAGCCTTGACCTAATGGGTAAGTCTTTTCATTCATTAATTAGAATTTGAATGAACTGAAATCCTCATGTTGATGCTTTTTTTTTCTTAATTTGGCAAATAAATGTGTCTGTGTTTATTTGATAATTTAATAAAATTGTTTAGTTCCTTTGGGAAATTGCACATATTACTTCACATGCACTTTAAGCATCTTGTCACCAAAACAGAAAATTGCTTTATGTTTTGGGGAAGCAAAAGCAATTCCATAATCTGATACATCTGTTGAAAGTATCCTGTATAAACCTTTACTGACAGTCCTCCAAGACACAAAAATGTCATAGTCCCTCTGCCTTAGCAAGAACTACCAAGTGAAATTTAAAGTTATATACTATTGAGAAGTGGTATCTACTGCTCTTCAAGGTCATGCATTAAATGTGCTTTAATAAACTTGTGTGGAATGCCATGGTGAACTACAGTATGGGATATTGTGATATTCCTGAAGCCCAGTATAGTTAAGTACAATAAAGGTGTGCTAAAATCATAACAACCCATAGAAACTACCCCATATGCATAAATTACAGTAGTTGCAGAAGGTTTAAAATAATCAAACAGTGATTTTAGGTCAACAGACAAAATGGAAAACACTAATTCCAATTTCTAGGAAAGAAGCACAGGTTTAAGAAGAACACTGGAATGGAAGTGTAAATATCTCACAGGGCGCAATCATGTTCATATTCAGCAGTTAAAAAAAGTTTTTTTTTACTATTTATTTTCAATATATAGCTCTGTTGAGCATAGCAGGAATCAACCACATATGTTCAGTTTATACAAACTTCAGCTTAGAGAGCAGCATTAACACTGAGTAGAGTGACATGTGTCTTATGGATAAAGTGTCATGCTTCCAGCTGATCAGAATGCAATTGAAAGAAATTGTATGCAGGTAAATATAACTGAAGTGATAAGAAAACTTGCTAGAGCCATGAGTACAAAGTTAATAGTACTTGGTGTTTTTTTTAGTCACCAGCACACAGTGGGTTATTGCCCTCCGATGGGAAATTTAAGTTGACAAAGCTCAGTGTGTGGCAGAAAGATTAGAAGCTGAGATGGTCTCATTTGTATTCCCTCTTTTTTATAGTCTGGCACTTCAAGCACGAAAAGGAAAACAAAATGCCAAACAGAAAAGAGAAGAAAATGTGCGGAGAAATAGCCACACGTGTACCGATTATAAAAGCCCACATGCATGTTCAGGACAGCACTTAGCATTACATGAGTTTACTGTAAAAGAGAATGAATCACGTATACTAATTGTAATGCTGAAACCATTCCAATTTCTATATCAATTTTATGAGTTGGTAATATAGGTTTAGCTGTATATTATTAAAGTGTAATTAATATCCAGACTTCACCTTGCCATCCTCCAAGCCAAAAAAGATGATCAGAATTTGGTGAAGCTTAGTTTGCAATTTTATTAAAGAGATTTTTTTTTGCTTCATAAAAATTCCTACAAGCAATTTCTTTAGCTCAGTTTAAGATGCTAATGCCGTTACTCATTGTGGACACTGCATCCCCTGACTGAATTCTTTAGCAAATACATGTAGAAACTGGTGAAAAAAAGATAATTTCCCTGATTAAGGGTCTATTTTCATCTCAGGTTTTGAGTTATAAACCTGCACATTACCTGCACACGCATGAATGAATTTAGCACCTGCAGTAC